AGAGCATTTGTCACTTGTGTGACAGCTCTTGTTGTACTTTCACAACAGCAAGTGTCAACTGCCGTGTGTCAGCTGTAAAAAGTTGCCCCGTAATTCAGACTTCAGTGTTGTTATATTTTTCTGGTCCATCGGGATCATTGATTCCATCACTTTTAGGTGTTGAAAACTGAGTACCGCTCAAGCCGGTGCTAGGGGGTATGAGGGATGTTGCACTTTTTCATTATCACTCAATCAAACCGAGTCTGCAATTTTCATGTAAATTGATGTTTTAATGCTTCCGAGGGATCCCTTTTTTTTAGATATTTGAAAGTATGTGATCGTTTCGGTGAAATGAATTGGCGAATTTGCGAATGAAAAATCGGTTTGTCATCCGCCCAAACTTTGTGGTGGGCCATAGATCGAGATGCATCATAACCGAATTATTTGCTTTTAAAGCAGCACGCCTCCAGATAAATGTCAATGTTTATGAAAATTTTTAAAATGTTTTTAAAAGTAAAATATTGTGAGGTGAATAAATAAAGAAATTTACATTTTGCAATTGGCACTTACAATCCATAAAAATACAAAAAAGTGGTTAACAGCCCTTACTGCGTTGGTAACGCAGTAGAAATAAAATTATTAAATTTACGGTGATAAAATACCGCAAGATCAGCCTTAAATCGCACATTACATGAAAAATTTTACTTGGATCTTGAATATTTATACCTTCCTTAAAATTTTGGCACATATTTCTGAATATTGATTTTCTTGAAATATTTTGGCTCATCTGGAGGTGTGCAGCTTTAAGCCCGCTTGTATACATTCAGAAGTAAGTGGATATTGAAGATGTAATTTATTGTGTCTAGTTTTAAAATTTGATTACAGTAGAATAGGACGCAGGATGACACCCGAGTTTATTGGAACAATAGGTCATGTCTAGTTAATTAGCCCTAGAGAATGTGCAATGCAATTTATCAATTAAAAACCAATCTTCCGCACCAAACATTCGCTAAGTTCCCTAAGATGTAAACATAGCATATAAAAAAATGTCTGTAGCGTTAAAGCAGCATGCCTCCATGTTCATGCTAAATTTTCATGAAATTTTAAAATAAATGTATTTAAAGTTTTAAAAAATGTGAATTGAATAACAAAAGTTTTTTTTATAACTTACAAACGGCACTTACGATTCCATGTATTTTACAAAAAAGAGGTCAAAATATATATGTACTGGGTTAGTCACACAGTCACACGGTGATATGTAAATATTTGCAAAATCAGACATATTAATTATACATAACATGTGAATTATCACTTGAATTTTGAATCCTATTTATCTACTCTTAAAATCTTAGTCTACATTTTATTTTTCTTGAAATATTTGGCTTATTTGAAGGCATGCATTTTTAAGAGTTTAAAATGTAATGCCTTAATCAATGAAAGCTTATCGGTTTTAATTTTGTTCAGACTTATTGTAGGTCTGTAAACCTACATGTGGCTTGAACTTTGACTTCGGGACCAGCAAAGTAATATCAAAGCCCCCTCTGAAGTCAAAAGAAATAAATAGAAGTAAAAATTCTACTGAAATCCCTCGCACTGCGGGTTTATAAATACGATCTTCCGCTATTTTAGGCGCGAAAAATCAAAGTCATCGCATTGATTAGGCAATGACTATTCTGGTTCCCGGCATCTAACAAGCGAAAGGGGAAGGAACTCCAGACTAGCAAAGACCAGGCACTGATGATGTAGTGCAGGAACAGCTGCAAGGCGCGAGACCCCCTCCCCCCGCTCCCCATCCACAAATGCTCCTCAGCAAAGGGCGGTGTTTTAAAACAAACAAATTATTGATTTATAGATTGCTGTAAAATGAAAAAAATAGAGCATGTATAGATTAAGGAATTGAAATTAAAAAAAAGTAGTGCCGCTGTGGCAAACCTAAATGTCGCGAACTTTGATCAGTAATTTTCTAGCAATCACAGACACAAATAATTCGATTTTCACGCGCGGGATATGTCGTCTGCATACTTGTACTTTAGTTTTGTCAGTTTGTCAGATTGTGAGTTTGTGTATTGGAAAGCACTCAAATAGTATCATACTCTATAGATACAGCAGAAATTCGCCCAAAATACGCATTAATTATTGCTGCAGGTTTTAATTCAACGGTATAAATGGGATACGCAGATGTTCTTCATGCGTTCGCGTTATAAACTTTTTTGCATTTAACAAAAAATTATTAGAGATAAAACACAGTAATAAATGGTCTTACGGGGAACCTGTCATTTAAATTAACTGAATAAAGGCAATAAATCAGTTTTAGTAAAAGATGCATATTTTTACGAATGTGTCACCATTTTGCGACATTAGTGTTTACTGCCGTAAATCAACTTGGCTAGTTTCGGCAAAAAATCAGAAATGAGTGACCATCAAAAGCGAATTAATTCGGTAGCAACTTCAATTTCATCTTGTTTCTTGTGTTAATATAGCATTTTGACAGGTCCTCTCACGACCTAAACTTTATACGCACTGTAAAATGCTTGCTTTTGAAAAAATGTATGGGTTAAAAAAAAATCATGATTTATTCGCACCCAAGAAAATTCGTACCATTCTTTTTACTTTGGCACATGTAAGAACACGTTCTAAGAGGAAAATCATAAAATCAAGACCTTTGACATAATTTAAATATATTAATATGAAAAAGGCAAAGCCTCAAAGCGAACTCGATGTACTTTTAACGTGATTTCCTATACTATGTAATAGTATGCAATAGTATGAAATAATCTCTCTCGAGTGGGTGTGACGTCACACTCAGCCTGTTAAATATGGCCCCGTCCCTGTCGTGAAACGAATAACGAGTTTTGAAAACGTTGATAAAACTTTGTTTATTTTATTTCACTCTATAATTTTTCAAGCGAAATAAAAATTATTTTAAGTGAAATAAATGTAAAACTTAAAACGTTTGCGACATTAAAATAGCGTACTTGATTTGTTTGTTTTGCACGTGCTGTTTGGCGCTACATTGTGACGTCACGTAAACAATACTTTAAACGTCTGTACAGCGTTAACGACTGAATAAAAGATATTGGTGTTCGGATTCATTTTCTTAGTTAGACCATTTTCTTTCATTCTAGATAGTTTTCACAACAAAATTCGACAAAAAATTGTTTTTATTTATCAGATTTCAAACAAAATGGCGCCTTCGATTTTCATTTTTTATACACAGCTTCCGTTATTCTGGTTCCCTGTCCAATAATGGTTCCCATAGACGTGCGCGGGTGACCCGTCTACACATCCGTTTTCAGTCAGAATTCCTCAGTTTTTATCGTCATCTTTAAATTCGAAAAGTTGCGATGTGTCCAATTCAGTACTTCGGACGAAAGTTTTCAAAACCATCACTTAGCAGGTACTCGCGTTACCGTAAAGCTCGCATTGCGAGCAGGCCCTTCGAGCCAGCTGGTCGAGCTCGCTATTACATGTGACACATTTAAAAATCCTTTTTTACTTCTACTTTTTTTACAATATTCGATGGTGTGTCTGTTTTTGTGACTAGATCACATTCACTTCTTCAAAAAGTGCTTTTGCCCCAGTCTTTGTAAAATTTTCCATTTATAAATGAATAAATTGAAAATTATTCAAACTGAAATTCCTGCACCTTTCTGTAAATTTAAAGAACAAAATTATGTCCAATTGTTGTTTTTACTTATTAACTTGTCTGTTTCAAAGGGAAAGTAAAGCTATTATGATCGCATTGTCATAGTCTGTTGTCAATTGTTGTCAGAGGGGTAATATATAAACAGATAAGCATTAACACTGCATGTGGTTCTCGTGTTTTTTTCTTAAATATGAAGATAATTATCAATAAAATCCCCTATACAGTTAAGTCTGAGACAATGTTCCTGAGGTCTTCCTCCACCAGTAAACCTGGAAGGTAGCAAGACACTTCACCCTCCAGACACTTCACCCCTCATATTTTGAAGACGCTTCACCCCTTAAGACACTTCACCCCCCAAAATCAGTAAGACACTTCACCCCTCATCCAATTTTTTTCTATAAAGTAAATAAATCAAGTTGGTCAACAACAAAATGCTTATATATGTTTATTTTTATTATTTTTAGTATTATTTGATTAGAAATTTTGCTTATTACCTTTATTTTTACTAAGTTTAAAGCAGATTTAGGTTAATTGGTTGTATTGCCAAATAATATATCACAGCACTTTCATCCATTGAGTGTTTATTGCATGTCACCTTGATTAGTTGTTTTTCAACGGTTATCTCACAATTGATTAGATAATTGAATTAAAATGGTATAATTGTATGAAAATTAAATTTATTCTTAATACATATTATAAATCAAATAAATAAATAAATTAAATGAATATTAATGAATATAAATGAATATGAATGAATGAATCGGTTGCTTTATAAAATATAGTAAATATAAATTATTTATCATCATTATCAGACACAATTATCCTGCATTTAATACAAAGATCATTCATAATGTCATTTATTAAACAAATAAATAGCACCAGTTATGTAAATTAAGCACAAGGTTAAAGCACAAACCATCACCAAATGAACATACGGTAACTCAATGTTTATTATATGGTAAGGATCAAACTGAAAACAAACTTAAGTACCAAAACTTCAAGAATTAAATCAACTCAAAATTTATTAGACAATGGGTTAAAACAATAAACATAATCACTATTGAATGTATTTAACATAATCTACATAAATAATTGTTAAACACAAAATAAAAAAAATGAGGGGTGAAGTGTCTCAATCAAATTTCTTAAAATGAGGGGTGAACTGTCTGAGGGGTGAAGTGTCTGCAAAAAAGGGCCTAGGGTGAAGTGTCTGGGGGGTGAAGTGTCTGTAAGCCAACCTGGAAAGTCACCATATGTCCTATACTGTGTTGGTGCAACATAAAGCCCGACAAAAACAAAAAAGAGACATTTTTTCCCTCCAAAAAGGACCTGTCACTATTTCTCACAATCGGGGCTTTACTTCACAGGTAGGGAAAGCAGCCCTGCCCTTATTCTTATGGGAAAAATTGCATGGTATATTTGCAAAAGGGGAAGAAAAAAAGTTGATGCAATTTTAATTTTGGAGAAAACTGCATGATTTTAAAGAATTTTTCTTTGGGGAAGTAGAGTCTATAACGGCCCCTGCTATAGGAGAACAAAAGGCCCTGACAATGCTGAAAAATTGGTGAATAATGACAATACAGTCATGTAGCCCTGATTTATGTGTTATTGTATATTACTATAAAAGTTACATTTTTGCTTAAGGGACGTCCAGGATCTAATACAAGTGGAGCCGGGAGACATTCTGCCTCAGGAAGTCTGAGAAATGATAATGATTCTCAAAGTGTGCGTAACTTGGCAAGTCGGGAAGAAGAATACAAGTAAGTAAATATGCTGTGTAAAAATTTAATAATATATAGAACAATAAGCCTTAGATGTTAGAAATGAATAGAATTTATTCTCTGGAGGAAAGGCAAACCTGTGATATATAATTGTTGGATTTGGATCATATTCATATGCTTGTGAATGTCATGTGATGATAATGATGATAATGATGAGTAATAAAGTGATAATTGATGATCACAGTAGTCATCAGCCAAGTGTTCATTAGTCAACAGGTCCTTTATCTCGGTACGCCCTCACAATGGTAAGGTGGCAGAGTTTGTTACAAGGAATTGAAGTCGCCATGATATTTTCTCTGCAGCCTTGCTTAGAGCTTGTGCAAAAGTTTTTGATTGTGAAATACTTTGTCACTGAAAGTAGTAAATAAACAGGAAGTGAATAAACAGGAAGAGACGTCACATGAGGTCAACGTCCGAGATGGCGGGAAACATACATTGTTACGTTACGTTATATTAAATTTCATTTAAAAATTAATAAAGTTAATAAAGATTTCGATATATATATATATATAAACATTCACGGATTATTAAATACAAGTATTTCCTATATAAAATATATAAAAAACAATAATAGGTAAAAAATACCAAAAAAGCCCTTACTGCATTAGTATCGCAGTAGAAATATAGTTGTTAATGTTGAAAAATCAGCCATTAATCACACATAGGATGTAAATTACTACTTGAATCTTGTTTTTCCTAAATTCTTAGTACATTTTTCTCAAGTTTGATTTCATTGAAATGTTTTGACTTATCTGGAGGCATGCAGCTTTAGAGATGGTTCAACTATATGCCCATTTAGATGAGTAAGTACATGTAAGTGTACTGCATGAGTCTTGCCACCATGCCAATTATAGTATTTTAGCACTGTTTTATATTTTACAAAAAATTCTATGCAAGCTCTTGTGTCAAAATTGTTTTAAATCTTTCAACATTTGTTTGATTACTTATTATCTTTATGTTTATAGAAAGTTGAATGCAGAATTAGAAGCTAAGACAGCCAATCTTGTCAGGGAAGCTGAAGATGTTCTAGTAAGTAAGAAAAGATAACTCTTACTATTAAGTAAAAATAAAGATAACTCTGGCTAGTAAGTAAGGAAAAATAATTCTGAATAATAAGTAAGAAAAAAGATAACACTGACTAGTAAGAAATTAGATCAATCTGGGCAGTAAGTAAGATGGATAACTTTTTGTAGTAAGTAAGGAAAGATAATTCTAACTAATAAGTAAAAAGGATAACTCTGACTTGTAAGTAAAAAGATAACTCTTACTAGTAAGCATGAAAAATAACTGACTAATAGGTAAGGCTAAAAAAAGGATTGGAGCACCACACTTATTACCATATTCCGGTATATACCGGACAAGGCGCTTGAATGATAAAATGCTAAAATCTTGCCTTTTTACCCAACGGAATGAACTTTAAAAGGTCTAATTCATCTTTTCACAACGAATTTTGCATGTAAATGCATGAAAAATTTTATAATCGGCAAAAAAAGGATATTTGTCTATTTTGTGATAACCAATTTTGCAAGCATTTAGAGGTACTGCTCCAGTCCTGTAATGAGTTTAATCCAAGAGAAAATAAGAAAGAAAAGATAACTCTGACAAGTAAGAAAGATAATTCTGTCTAGAAGTGTGTAAGAAAGATAACTATGACCTGTAAGAAAGATAACTTTAACAAGCAAGTAAAGAAAAATAACTCAGCTGATAAATAAGGGAAAATAACTTTTAATAATAAGATTGAGAAAGATAACTCTGACCAGTAGGTAAGGATGATGACACTAGTAGGTAAGAAAGATAAATTTGATTAGTTACATACAGTAAGAAAGATAATTCTTAACTGTTAAACACAGTTAAACCTATGCAGCTCACACACCTTTGACTAAGAATGGTCATTGCTATGACAGGTGTCATTCTAGGAAGGCTATTGCTATTGCGGCATCTTATTTAAATTGTAAAATTGATATTGTTGTTGTAAAAACTTGTTAGTTGTGGATCAAACTTATGATTCCTGGATTTGTAGTCTTATTAAACTTTTGGAATCTTAACTTATTACTAGACCACAAATAGCCCTAGTAGTATATTTGTACCGCCCACAAATCGCTAAGTATTGGTTTAGTTTCATAGTCATATAAGACGATCAAATGTTAAATATAAGATAAATCCAATATTTGATACAAGAAAACCCATTGTGAAATAGTAGATAAATCCAATATTAATGTTTAAAAATCCAATAGAAATAATAAGAAATCTAATGTTGAATACAGGACAGTCCAAACATATTTGGTAAACGAAAACCAAGGAAGTCAATGTTAAATGCATAAAAGTTAAATATTTTTTAAATAAATATCCAATGTTTAACATTTTACAAGAAAATCTAATGTTTAAAGGCCCATTAACGCTATCATTTATGTTACTGTTACCAAAATATACTCATTTGCAACACGATATATCTTTTGCTCTGTTTGCAATTACAATGTAGTATAATTATAGTGAATTGGTATTTTATATATATGGAAGTCAAAATACTAATTTCTTGATATTTTCCTACTTTAATGACACATCACTGCACATTAAGCACTACTTTCTTCAGTTATTAAACGTAAAATATGCTTAACCCATTTTTAGAACAATGTTTAATGTCTAAAGAATTTTTAAAAAATATAGATTTCTGAAACATTATGTGCCTTTAAAACAAGAAATTCTACTGTAGTTTCTCACATTTTGTAATGTTGTGTTTTTTGGCAGTGTGTGACTGTGTTTTTTTGTCTGTTTTATAAGGAAATTCCAATGTCTTATTGATAAGAATTATCATGGTCCTGCAGAGAAATACAAATAACCTAGCAGATTGTGAGAAAAGGTAATTATAGTGGTAGTGCTAATGATTGCAATTTTAAATTTTGTTTCTAATTGCTATTATACGGGGAATTTAATGTTTTCCAGAAAGGTCAGGACTCGATATTGAACGAGCCGAAATTACTTGAGAAGATAAATACTGACGAGTTTCTAAAGTAAGTATAATTATTCGATCAAAGTTTGTAAACAACTTTTATGTACAAGAAAGTTTGTAAACAACATTTTTGTATATGTACAAGGTTAAAATAAAGCAGTATTAAAAACTATATGATATAAAAAAAAAACTGTTTTTATAATCAATCTCTATCGATTGACCAACCGACCAATCAATCAATCAATCAATCAATCACATAATCCATCAATCAATCTGTTGATACAAAATCAGTCAAATTATCTAATATCATGAATCAATCACTCGAACAATCAATCAGTCAATCAATCAGTCACATAATCAATCAATCAATCAATCTAACAATAAAAAATCATTTAAATTATCACAAATCAATCACTCAAAATAATCAATCAATCACATAATCAGACTCAGTCAATCTTATCATACAAATATGTCAAATAATCACAAATCACTCAATCAATCAATCAATCAATCTATCACATAATCAATCAGACAATCTATTTATACAAAATCAGTCAAATTATCACAATTCAATCACTCAAACAAAGCATCTCAACATATGCAAAAGCAGCCTTTACTTGAATTCATGTATTGTCATTTCTTATAGTTATAAAACATGTCCTTGATTTTGCATTTTTGGACAATTTGTTTACTGTAACACTGGATAGGGTCTTTTAAGTACATGTAGAATATATTTGTAGTAATTGAAAGGCCGTCTCCTGGAATTTAGTAGTTAAACAGTTGAGATAAGCTCCTATAAATAGTAACTTGTTTATGTTTCAGAGCTTTTGATGATGACTATGTGTCAGCCAATGAAAACAGACCAGGCAGTTCACAGTCAAAGGTAGGTAACTCTTTGGAAAAAAATGACAAAGTACTACCAAAACCTTGTACTGGTCTGACATAAGTGAATGTGACAGCTTCCTAACCTTAAAGCCATTTTCATTTTTTCTATTAAAAAGCGGGGATCAAAAATTCAAATCTTCCTCTAATATTTACGAGTAGAAAAGCTGTGGGATGAGTAAAAAAAGACATGTTTGAATTATTTGTATGTATTATTTTCTTAAATTTTATTTCTTATTATTATTTTATCTTTTGTTCATGTTGGATACAAGCTTAAAGCTTATGTTTTGTACTGTTAACCATAACCAACTATAGATAAAGTGTATCTGTAAATACTGTCTTATGTTGTTTGCTCGACCAGTTGGTTTAGAATAGAAAATTGTTTGAATGATTATAGTCAAAGTGTTTTTATGTTTATATAAACATACTTTGGATGAAATGCTGCAATGGCCCATTTGATGTATGTACTCTGTTATATAAATTCCCTACAACAAAATCTTCAGGTTTCTTGTTTTTTCTCATTGAATGTAAATATATTAAAATAATATGATCATTCTGGCAGTCTTTTGTTTATCCTTTTCCAATTGATAGTTTCTTTCATTATAAGACAAATATATTTGATTATACTGAATAACAATGCAGGATAAACATAACATGTATGATGAATATTTACTAGTGGCTTGAATTTTTTTTCCTGATCCCTAAAGAGGTGTAATTATTAAACTGTTTGAAACACAACACAAAGTGCTTTTAATATCTGAACTAAAAAAAAAAGGGAAAAAGAATTTTTGCAGCACTAGTGGATGAAATAATTTTTTTTTTTTCTCGCAAAAGGGATCTTCAAAATTTTCTTTAAAATTACGCAGTTTTCCCAAAAAAATCTGAACTTACACATCATTTTTACTTCCTAAAATTAGCAATTTTAGCAATATTTTTTCCCAAAAATCAAGAGGCTAAGGCCTCTTGCCAATTAAGTGAGAAAAACCACTAAATATTTTAAATACATTATGTTGATTGTTATATATAATTGTAGCATTTTCTTATAACAATGTGTTGAACGTATAAAATATGATATATTTTTTGTAGCCCAATTCAACAAGACCTCTTTCAGCAGCTAAACCCACAAACCAGTCCAGATCTCAATCCAGAAATAACCAGTCAAGACCGCAATCTACAAACAAGAAACCTGCTTCTGCAAAGTAAGCTGAAAATTGTTATCCTTTTCCTCAGAACCTTTAAATCGCTCTGATCACTACAGCAATTGCAAAATAAGTTCGTTATAATGTAGAGCTTAGGTGTATGGGTCAAAGTTGAAGGGACTTGGGTGTAAATGAAATCTTTGAGACATCTGTACAAGGATTCGTGTATTTTGCTACTCAAATTTTACTGTACAGACCACATAGAAACTTCGGCACAGTGAAAATTTGGGCACATAAAAATGAACTTATATTTAGGTTTTTATAGAAGAATATACAGGGGGGGGGGGGGGGAACTAAGTAGAAGTTTTGACATATTGTAAGGGAATAAAATTGCTTCCTAATTGGAATCTTGATGTTTGGATTATTCAGTTTTAAAACTTATTGCATCGAAAGAACAGAGCTTACAAACTCTATAACAGGTAGAGAAACTGATAGCAAACAGCATGGATCCTGATCAGACTGCACGGATGCGCAGGCTGGTCTGGATCCATGCTGGTCGCAAACCCATTATGTTGGTTTTGTTGTGATGCAGCTCATTTTTTTTTGATTCCTTATATGGTTAAATTTAATTCTTTATTGTTAATCTTGAATATTTTGTTTTATTCATTTTACACAACAGGGCTCGTATAAAGTCGGGCCGCAGTAACGTAGAGGATGTTGCCATGGTGGATGACACGTTTCTAACGGAGTACAAAGATTTCTCGTTACAGAATGTCGTAGACAATATGGAAGGGCTAAATCTGTCAGAAGATGACATAAAAGACGATGTGTTGCCCAGCGTAGCACAGGATATGGGCACAGGTGATGTTTCTTTGATCTTATCATGTTTTTTCATTATTTGAGCCGTGTGACGACAAAACCAATGTAATGCGATTGCGACCAGCACAGATCTAGAACAGCCTGCACATCTAAGCAGTCTGATCAGGATCCATGCTGTTCGCTATCAGTTTCTCTACTTGTAATAGGGTTTGTAAGCGAACAGCATGGATCCTGATCAGACTGGGCGGATGCGCATGCTGGTCTGGATCCATGCTGGTCGCAAACCCATTATGTTGGTTTTGTCATGATGCGGCTCATTTTCTCTTTCAAACCCCACTAGAGCTGTCATTAATTCAGTTCAAATCATATTGACGATACATGGATATTGGATGACAAATATCAGCCATACACCAATATAATGATATAAATACACCTAATTTCTTGTCTATAATTTACTTTAATACCTGTTTAAATGATTTTAGTAAAATATATTTTCTGTTCATACATATATGTTTTGTCCTGTTTATAATTGTCCTTTGCATGATTTTTTTTCTGAACATTTTTGTCATCACTCCTTTAAAAATGTGTCCATTATGTAACGAAAGCTTATTGTTAGACAATTGGCCACCTGCTTTTGTATATGATTTGGGTGAACTTTAATAATTTATAGACATTTAAATCATTAATACAAATTATCAATTTTTTCAACTGTGTATCGATAACTGATTGACAGAAAAAAAAATCAACAAAATACCAATATTGTCTCAATCTATGACAGCTCTACAAACATTTAAGGAAAGTATATCTTTTAACAAAGAAGTCATATTTGAAAAGTGTTACTGAAAATAAAACAGTAATGGAAATATATGCTTGTTTGTTGCAGAGGCACAGATTCGATTTTTGAAAGCAAAGTTACGAGTTATGCAGGAGGAGATGGACCGACTCGGCCAAGAGATTGGTAAAAAGGTTCGTATATGTGTTTTTATTACATGCTTTTCTGTGGACAGTGAAATTATATTTTGGTAATTTTGCGGTGAAATTATAAAATATAATTTTCACAGTAGCCAGACTATATCTGAATGCAGATGAAAAGAATATAACTAAAGTAAAGGGAACACCAGCTTTTATTATTATTTTCACTGGTGGCTATGCCACTTTTGGAAAAATTACATTTGGTGTTCACTCTGTGAAGTTTATTTCGATCTAACATGCAAAAGAAACTAATACCTTCTATATTGATATAATAGAAACAATTAAAAAATTTGTATATGCAGACTCAAACTCGAGAAAATTATGGCAATGAGTGTCATAAAAGCAAATACATTAATAAAAATGTCTTAAACCATTACTCCATTTACACCCTTTGTATACGATATATGAAGTTATGGTTGAAGACATTGTCTACATTTTTCATAAAAACAAACATAAATCTTAGATTACGCGCTCCAAGCAATTAAAGAAGTCAAACCTTTGAATATAAATCGTTAAACTATTTTAGGAAGAAGAGAACAGCAGTATGTCCGTCCGTGTGAAGGAACTCGAGGACGAGAGAGGCAGACTTACACGCACCAACGCGGCCCAGACAACGCAGATCGATAAATTTAAAAAGATTGCGGAGGACAGTAAAACTAAGACAGAGAGTTTAGAGACACAGCTAGCAGCTACGAGAAAAGTGAGACTTGACCTTTGATACGAATGCGGGCATGAGATAACGACCCTTAACGTCATTTATCACACACCCGTGACGTTTTTGCGACTCCGTAAATATGGTATTGCACAGCCATGCATATATTTTGATGTGACGTTAACACTATTGGCGCATCAATGAAAAATGGTTCTTTTTCACTTTAAACGATCTTTATTTTTGGTATATGATAAATTGAATATTAAATTTGTGTAAGTTAATTACTGAATTTATTGAACTTGTTGAATAAAATAATGTTATGCTCGCCAGAGGCTCAACTTGTTCAATAAATTCAGTATTGAACTTACACTCATTCAATATCCCTTATTTAACAGATTACGTCAAAAGACGTTAATGTTAAAGTTGGTGTTAAAAATAAAAAGTGAATCACTTTTGAAATGATAAAGATAAATATGAATAATTGATAATAAACAAATTTCAAAAGATTTTATTTATTTCAAAAGCAATGGAAATGGATATTTTTAAGAATCAAATATGTCAATTTATAAAAATAGTAAATGACGTTATGGATTGTTTTCTTATGCGGGCAGTCATATTATGTTACTTCATAGAACAGGGGCCCAATTGAAATTTTCTTTTTTAAAATCATACAGTTTTGCCAAATATCATAAATTAACCAGCTTTTTCTCTTCCCAAATTATCAATTTTAGAGATATTTATATGCAAAATTAAAAGGCAAAGGCCCTCTCTTATTTACATTTAAGTGAGAAAAACCACTGATGATCTTATTCAATATGTCTACATTCAATGAATCATTTACCCTAGAGTTGTCCGAGGCGGGGTGGTTAAGGTTGTTGACTTCAAATCACTTGTCTCTCACAACTATGGGCAACAGACTTTGAATTAATTCATTTGAGAAAAACTATTATGTAACACTTAGCTTACAGAGCTACATGGGTTAGAATCCCAACAGGGACTTTGGATTCTTTCATGTCAGGAAGCTATCCAACTAGCTTACAGAACCCCAGTGGTTATACTCGGGTGCCCGTTTGTATGGCAAGTGCTGGCAGATTGACATGAAGATAATTGAAATAAATGGTATACATGTATAGAAAAGTAATACATGTAAGAAAGGAAACACACTCCAGGAAAATGCAGGATGACTGGCAGTAATAAGGTGCCTGAAATGTACAATTTGCTTATAGATAGAAATCTTTGCTTGACTCTTCAATTGTTTGCAGGAAATCTATTGTGGGACTTGTCCTGGACTTGTCCTTGAATATGCAAAATCAGTCTTTGAAAAGTCCTTAAATTTAGTTTACATATTTCTTTTTAAACCCTGATGGAGTTGAGCCTATGGTCTCAGACCTCAACTAGTTAATCTGGAAAGTTGCCTTATTAATTTTACTGTGTCTATTACTGTGTGGTTTAAAACCCAGTTACAAAAAAAGAAAGAAAGAAAAAAAAACAAAACAAAAAAACAACAACATTTGTCTTAGTTAAAATATCTTTTTGCCTGCTAGTTTATGATATATTACTTATTGTCAAATGTTTCAAGGGAAGTTACTCAATGGATAAAATCATGATTTATTGCAGGTTGCCTCCCTTTAAACAATGATTATACTGTATTCATAACTATTTTTCATAGTCATGCTTATAAAGAATAAAAGAATTCATAAATTTAAAAGAAGTGCATGAACAGACTTTAAATCCCGAAGATTTTTTTCACTCTAGTTAAAGCGCAAATATTGAATTTGTTGGTTTTTATAAAAGATACAACTGAAGGATAGTAGATCTAATTATTCCAGGAATAACAATTCATTCAGAGTTAGCTATTAAATAACAGTAGACTGTAGGGGCATCTGTGTCACATACATGTAGACTCATTTCTAGTTAAAAACTTATACACATGTAAACAGATTTATGTTGTTGTTTTACACAGACCTTGGCACATTGTTTGATTCAAAAGTAGTTTGACCACTAAACAAAGGTGGTTGTTTAACACAGGTTTTAATGATAATTCCAGGAACTAGAACAAATGAAGAGGAACCAGAAACAGCAAGCTAGCACACAGGGGGCCACAGAGGTCAGACTAAACAGGGCATTAGAAGAAATAGAGAAATATAAAGAGCAGTTATCACGATCCAAAACATCATCAAGGGTAGGCAGATAACCCTTTAGTTTGCTTAATATTTTGTAATGAACTTTTCCAGCTTTGATTTTGGAAGAGTCCATTAATAAAATGAGTTATTTGTCAAGGGTAGGCAGATAACCTTTTAGTTTGCTTAATTTTTTTGGAATGAACTCTTCCAGCTTTGAATATGGAAGAGTCCATGTTAAACTGAGTTATTTGTCAAGGGTAGGCAGATAACCCTTTAGTTTGCTTGATTTTTTTGTAATGAACTCTTCCAGCTTTGAATATGGAAGAGTCCATGTTAAACTGAGTCATTTGTGGGCTGATAACTCTTAATTTGGGAAATTTGTCTAGTGATATTGTTGTCATTTTAATTGTTTAAGAGTCCATTGTTAAAGGGACTCAACCAAGTTTTTTGTTTTTTTGAGATAACAAGACCGGAAATATTTGTGTGATTACGATGCAGTAACTAGTAAATCTTAAATTAAAATGCCGCAATTTGTGTGATTACGATGCAGTAACTAGTAAATATTAAAATCAAAATGCTGCAATTTGTGTGATTACAATGCAGTAACAAGTAAATTGCTACTATTTCAGGAAACAACGGACCAGGAAAAACGTAAGGTGGATCAGTTACTGGCAGATAACAAGCGTTTGGAGAAACAGAAGAACGAGTTAATGGCAGGCTTTAAAAAACAATTAAAATTGATTGACATCCTCAAGAGACAAAAGGTATGCTTGATTGCTTTGATTAATTTGATTGATTGATAGCTCAATTGATTGATTGATTTACATTTTCTGTCCCAAGTTTTTGAGTTCAATTTCATTACCACAGACATAAAAGTAAGGACAAGGCATACATTGTACATACCAGTAAGTGAGTTAAAATATTTTTTCACAAACATGCTTTAAAGGAGCGTGACTTAAACATAACATTTGAATATCTCACATTGATTGGCTGGGACACTTAATACAGAAAAATATGCAAAAGATGTTTAAGAAGTATAACCAGAAATATATTGTAATTCCTTATTGTGTCATTAGCCTGGTTTGAGTGAAAAGCGTTAAAACATCATTTTTCACAAGTAGAATTATTATTTTGGAAATATACAGATAGGGATTGAACTTAAACTCTGCACACACACAAGTTTTTGGTCTACCCTTACATCAAATGGATTACAGTGTAACTTCTGAATTCCGGAACTTCTGAAATCTGGAAACTTCTAAAAACCGAACATTTTTTTACGTCCCGATCTTTTCCCTTCTCTTTTCTATTAATATAATACTTCTGAATTCCGGAACTTCTAAATTCTGAATTCCGGAAGATATTTTCGTAAAATTAGAGTCAAATCAATTGAATTTTACCTCCAAAAACCGGAAATATCCAAAGGTGTGAAATACATTGTAAAACGAGAATTTTTACCCTGCAGGAAGATTTAATCTCCCTATCGATTGTTTACTAATTAGCGGTGATTGTGTAATTTGACACGCGTTAAAATAACAAACTGTGAAATGGTATGTTTGAAGTGATGCGGTTAATCAAAGTAATTTACGGTGGTCAGTTAATTTGATGTGTTTATTAGCTGATTAAATGACAATTAATTGGACAATGTATGCATCAAACGTCTTTAGGGATTTTATTGCATTTTATGTAATAATTATTTAACTAGCATTGGACGATATGTAAGTTTATGCAATTAACAACATTTCTCCAAACTGATAGAAATTCAAAAGCATTTGCAGGTAAGATAAAAATGTATTCTTTTCATGCACATCTTTATCTTGATTAAAAGACTATTATATATGATAATACAGAAATGGCCACATCTTCCTTGACATTTAGTGATATTAAGTGGCTTAGTCTTGTCCACATTATCATAAACCTCTGAATTCCGGAAACCTCTGAAATCCGAACTTTTTGACAAGTCCCATGGGTGTTCAGTTTTCGGAAGTTACACTGTATTAATCTTGAAAAATTATTTCATGTCCCATTATGCCAAAAAACCTCAGTGGAGTTCCTTTAACATGGAATTGAGTCAATGATATTTATTTCTGTCAATGAGTGTTTTTTTGTCTTTAAAGTAAATGGGTCTACAGATTTTTTAAAGTGAGTATTTTAAGAAATTGAAAAAAGCAATAGTAATGTATTATTTGAATATTCTAATAAAATATTGCTTGAAAATAAAATGTTGATAACATTCTTAGCGATATGGTATGAACATTTATAATTTATATGGTAAATAATAATATTTTTTGTTCTACAACATTTTTATGCCCCCGGGCATATAGTAATTGAACCGTCCGTCCGTCCTGTCAGTTGAGTCAAGGTCACAAGTGCTAAAAATAGATTTTTACACTTTTACCCATACAGCCTTTATTTATTGACAGGTGTATTTCATATTTGGTAGGAAGATAACTTGTATGATATTCTATAGGTGTCAGTGGGTCAAGGTCAAGGGTGCCAAGTATAGATTTTGTTACATTTATATATATTTGATAAAGTTGAATATTTATCACTTCACAAGTCAGAGCAATGACTTGGCAACTTATATATTTCACAATTACAAAATGCCATGACTGTCAAGCTATATAACTTGTGTTTACAATTTTTTGGCAATGTTTCTGTCCATAACTGAGTGAATGGGTAAACATTTTTTGAATTATTGCTACTGACAAGAATCGGAGCCGGGGGCATTTGTGTTTAACAAACACGTTCTTGTTTATATCTGCTACATAAATATACATGTATGTTATATCAGATCATGTATCTTACACTTGCCAGCAACATTCATATACAATGTAAAATTATTTTCATGGATTGTTGTTATTTCCAATACTAAACAGGGCTTCCGTTAAGTTCCAAATTTCGAAAGTCAGAGACTTCAAAATTCTCGGATATCAGAAGTAACATTATATATACACTGTTAGGTAAAGCATAATATTTTGGAAGTCACAAGTCAAAATGAGGAGTAAATGACTCCCAAACTACCTCTAATGGAAGCCCTGACTAAATTCTATCAACTTAATTATTTGCTGTATTTCAAACCTTCCATTATAGACCAATTCACTTTAATACAAAAAAAAATTGATCACTTTAATTTCACTTACCTTTTCAGATGCACGTTGAAGCTGCCAAGATGCTGGCTTTCTCCGAGGAAGAATTTGTGAAGGCTTTAGAGTGGGGAAGCTGAGTCTAACCATCAAGTGATAGAAAGATGCATCATAAGGAGGCGGTTGTAGGCCAAATCTATTGTCTAAAATGCCATTTGGGGCAGCCTTAAAACAGTACTTGTTATATGTTATGAAACTAAAAGCAACAGCTTAAGATCCAAAAATTTCTGAGATGGTCAATTATGATTCATAATTCATCTCCGGGACAGACACCTTATTTCCGGGACTTTCCCGGATGTCCGGGACGTTATGGAATGTATGATTATGAATCTGAAGCAGTTGTTTTTATTTCGCATAATTGACCATCTCAGAAATCTTTTAAGTGACAAGCCTGAATAGGACTGGTTATTTTTATATAAGACCTGTATTATTTATTAATGATCAGTATATTAGTAACAGATTAGTCACTCGATTTAGAATTTTCAGGTCTACAAATTTGTATTAAGTTAAAGTAAAAAAGAGCCATAGTGGATGTTGTCAAAGACAAAGATTACTGGTATATGTTATTATAATTTGGCAGAAGAACTGGTTGTTTGTATAGTGTTATTCATATAGGGAGGACTTGAGAGCTATTGACCTTTGCAGTTACAAGTTTGAACCAATGGAATGGCTTTTGTAAAGTTTTGAATGATTTGGTTGAAGTGATTATTTCTATCTATTTATGTTTTTAAATTTTTATGGGCAAAATATCCCCTGTACATTATTTTTTTAGGTCATTTATCTGTGATAAAATATATGTTGCATATTAATGGGCCATCCATAGCCAAGTGGTTATAAGGTCTATGACTTCAAAACACTTGCCATTCATCGTTGTTGAATCAGGACAGGGATTTTGCAATTTTTCATTTGAGGAAGCTATCCAGCTAGCTTACAGAACATTGATGGTTCTACTCAGGTGCCCCTTTGTGCCTGAAATAATGCTCGGAATGGCACCTGAAATCTTCCTCCACCAATAAAGCTGGAAAGTCGCCATATGAGTCATATGACCTTTACGGTTTTGGTGTGACATTAATTAATCCTGATCAATAAAAATAATAAAATATATATGTTGCATATTATAATTGATAACTTTCTATAATTTGAAGCCCCTCTTTCTCATCTTAAATTGATAAACATTGCAAGACAGAGGTCATGTGACTGGACCAGAGAGAATGTTATGGTGAATCTGAACAAGTTTTAGCTGTTTCATAAAATGATCAAAATTTTGAACATTTTATGAAAACAGTTAAACTTGTTCAGGTCAGGTCATCAAACAAGTGACAATATTCAGCAAAAAAGTCATGTAATCAAAGCTGTGAAACTGTTAAGGTAACTTTTTTCAAGAAGGACCAAACCAGTTATATTGTATGATAAATTTTATGTAATCAAAACGCTGATGCTATAAAGTTATTTTTTTGTCAGACCAGTTGAACTTTTTAGGTGAATTTCATGTTATATGTTATCAATAAGTTCAAATAAAAAGTATATGAATAAATTATTTTGAAAAAAGATTATATGGTTTTTATATCTTTTTACTTCTCATTTTTAGCTCGACTATTCGATAAGAATAAGTAGAGCTATTGTAGTCACCCGAGCGTCGGCGTCAGCGTAACCACTTATGTTCAAGTTTTTGTAATACCTCAAATATTTTCAAAGTCCATTGACATGGTTTTGAAACTTTGCACACTTGTTCACCATCATGACCCCAACCTATAGACAGGAGGAGGTAACTCTATGAAGCATTTTGATAGAATTATGCCCCTTTTTTGACTTAGAATTTACGTTATGTTTTTGTAATAACCTAAATATTTTCAAAGTTCATTGACATAAGGCTTTGAAACATGTTGAAATTTTATACTCTTCTTTGAGAGAATACCAGGATTCTCTCCAAGGCCTATAACTGTAATATGGATTTAAAGAAATATTTTTACCTTTTTCTTAACTGGGAAAATTTTACCTTTTAATCAAGGCTTTTTTTACTATCAAGCACTAAGAATAGTCGAGCGTTGTTGTTCTACCGACAGCTCTTGTTTATTTGACTGTTGCCACTTTAAGTATATGCCACTTTAAGAAATACACCATTTGTGTCCATCGTTGTCCATTGACATCGGCCAAGTGGTTATGGTTGCTACTGCGAGGCCCAATGTAGTATCGGGTGTTTGCAACGGGCATTTCCTTGCGTTGTCTTTATAAATAAATTATTTAGAGGCGCTTGTCTCCCTTTTTTCGCCATCCGCCACAGCGCTTGAATGACATTGACCTCATTTCTGTGACGTGTCGTCTGCAGAGATGTTTGCATCAACAGGTGGCGCTGTGGAACGGAAGTTGCGATTTCTTCGTGTTTTGGTGGCAAAATCAGTTGCTTGACTGTCTATTTTCCCTCTAATAAATGTTTCAGCTGATAATGAAACTGCGAGTTCTGTTGGCGAAGGCAATACGTCAGCCAGATTCTGCAACTGAGCCAGTCCTAAAAATAAACAAGTAAGTGATTTCATAAGCGTAAATAAATATAGAATCCATAAAGCATGGAAGATAAAAACAAAAAGGTAGATCAAGATACATATATGGTTGTTGCAATATGAAATGATGTGATGACGATGCTAAATATAATAAAAATAATAAATTTCGTATTGGGTTTTACGTCACACCAACACAGTCATATGGCGACTGTCCAGGTTTTCTGATTGAGGAAGACCTCGGGTTTCCTCTACCACGAACGCGCACCTGAATAGAACCACCCCTTCGATCTTGCTGGATATCTTCGCACATGAAAGAATCCAATGTCCCTGTCGAGGCTTTGAACCCACGGCGGTGAGGGGCAAGTGGTTAAAAGTCGACGCCCTCAACCTCTCGGCCATGGACGCCCCAATGATAATTATGATGATGATAAACTCAGTTATAATCATCCATTTCATATGGTGTCATCTTTGTTAATGAACTCATTTTGTCATATAAAAATCCTTTTATATCAACGTCGTCACTTGATCATATGAAAAGACTGAATGATAATGATATGTTGATAAACATTCATAAATGAACGACCTCATGCGGTCATTTGATCTCATAGTTGACGTCAAGGACCCCGGCACCAAAAAAAAAATTGTCAATCACATTTAAAATATGTACGAACTTTGTCCTATTTTTGTTCAACAAAAAATAACGAGACATGGCAATTCCTTGTGGGTGTGTTTTTTTATCAAAATGATTCATAACACAATTTTTGTGTGCGATTATTGGATACGAACCAATGGTATAATGAAAAACACCTTTACATTTGTAATAGCGTTATATAGGGTTTACAGGGCGATTCTCTCAAGCTGTGTTAGCGTACAAATATATCACCATTTATTATATTATACTTATCAATGACATATTGAGATATCTTGATGAAATAAAATGCATATTTTTATTTTCCGCGTTTTCACTGTAATTTTTTTTTCACTGCAGTGAAACATATTTTCTGTATTTTCACTGGTGTCTTGCTGGACTATTTTCTTCTAAATTCAGCCAATACACAAAATTAAAAGGGAATTCTTCATATTCATAAGGTTAAAAAAGAGAAAAAGTATAAAATAAACAGAAAATTCAAGTTTTTCAATTTATAACGGATTAATTTTCACATTGTGGTATGAAAATTATCATATTTCACACGTGGCTATTGCCACTCGTGAAATATTTGTTTTCATACCACTCGATGAAAATAAATCCTGTATTATAGAAGAAACTTGAATATCCTCTATATATCTTAGCTGCAGCTGATGAGGTGATTTAAACCCCTGGTGTTGTTTGAAGTTTGTCACATCCGAGGTTGGCGTCGTAAATCCATACAATAAAATATAGGAGCCGCGTCATGACAAAACCAACATAATGGGTTTGCGACCAGCATGGATCCAGACCAGCCTGCGCATCCGCGCAATCTGATTAGGATTTTTTGATTTTTCGGCTATCATTTTTCTCTAATTAAAATTTAAAAAGGGTTTGAAAAAGCGAACGCATGGGTTTCCTGTCGAT